GTGCATGTATACAGGAACACAGGTTACATTGTATTGCTGTATAAACATACATGTACATGTACAGCTTCAACTGTTAACAACAAGAAAAGGAGAAGTGAGTCCAACTTACAATAGACTTTTACAAATAAGTGAGTATAAAACAAGATGAATTACTATAGACAGTTCCCTAATCCATGTACCGTATTTGCTCAAATAAACGCCCATGACAAATATTCTCTAACTATAGATACCCATATTCTACCCAGTATATGTGCCCTAGTCTTTAGATTGTCCCAGATAGCCTAACTGCTGAAGTACAGTTCGGAACATCAGAAGGTCTTGAGTTGGAGTTCTCTATTGGATTTTTGTTTTTTTTACTTGAATTTATTCCCTGTTAAGAAATAAATGCCCAGGAGATTAATTGAGCAAATACAGTATATATATAAATAGAGAGTAATCTATACAATTTTTGAATGGTTAACTTATAAATTTAACCCTGTCTTAAACTATCAATACCGTATAGCGGATAATTTTGGAGTGAATTAAATTTGGTGAATTTGGCATTTTGATAGCCATTCGCCTAAATAAAATCTGCCATTTTGAGCCATAATACGCATGCTCAATGGCATGTGGCCACTGATTCTCCAAATTAAAATCTGCCAATCACCAAAATTTAGCAATTCGCCAAATTTTAATCCCTCCAAAATTTCCCGCTATACGGTATAAACAATTAAACATCTGAATCATTCTAAACAAGCAAGGATATACATGTAGTAGTAACAGTTAATTAATTGAAGTTAACTCCACATGTTGCAATTGTTCTAGTGACTTAGAGAGGCCCCCATGATGTTGCATTGAGTATTATGCTCGTGAATATCATTTGCATCTCATTACATTTGTCAATAATCATGTTTTACACAAATTTTTGAGTAACTTTAAAAATTCATAAAAATCCAATTTTGATCAGAATCAGCTCAAGCTTGCTACACAACATAAGTACATGTACATGTATCAGAAAATATTATATAAACTAAGATTTCTCTATGATTAAATTTTTGCAAAATTCGGCCAACACCCCTGTACTATAGTAAAGGGACTTTTACCCAATTTTTAAACTTTAAAAATTTATAAAAAATCCAATTTTGATCGGAATCAGATTAAACTTGCTACACAACATAAGTACATGTACATGTATCAGAAAATA